GAGCATGGAAAATCATACTTTGATTCTTGTTTGTAACTTCTAATGGCTAACTTATTTGAATAAGACCAAATGCAACCGTATTGTATGAAAATCATCAAATTTAGCACTCAACTTATTGATAAAAAAGTGCATGTAGTTTACGAAATTTCTAGCTGATGGGATTATAAATTTTTTTTAGAAAAGATCACTTAAGGTCAAGTAAAAGCACATTTCTTTAGTCAACAAAATGACCTCATTTCGCAAAATGAGTGCCATATTTGTGATTTGCATGTTAAATAAGCTCCATATTTGAAGTCCCGGGGGATCTGGAAGTGTGAAATTCTGACTCTGAAAAGAACCCAGGATTTCTTACATTATACAGAAACAAGATGTCACTACCGAATGCTAACCAAATTCGCCAATTTTAGGTACACATAAGCGCAATGGATATCATGCTTCTTTTTAAAACTGAAACAAATGAAAGTTGCACGTCGCATGCTCGTTCGCATTGCCGCACTATGTTGGAATCTCATTACCCTATTTGTCGTCTTGTGTTTTAACCGGATGGCGGCGGCACAGCTAGGGCTGCCTTGGGCGCCTAGGCCTTTGAACTGATAGCGTAGAATACGAAGAAACTCATTTTGAAGTTCAAGAAGGCCTAAAACCGCGTGTTGCACCATGTGCTGCTATTCGAAACCACGTTGTCAACCCGTCCATTATCAAACGCCATGTTTCTGCTGCTTTGGTTAATCAGCAAGATCGATAGAGATTGACCGCTATCTACATTTTTATTTGATTACTACTAAATACGGGTGTCCCAAAAGTAAGTACACACTTTTTAGTCGTTGATATCTCTCTTCTCTTTTCGTCTTTTTCCGCCTTTTGAGTACCATTCTGTAGAGGATGCATCAACTTAGATTTATTGTATCGAGCGAATGAACGTTCGCCCTTCATCACTGTAGGATTACTGTAGGAACTTCGACAAGGATTTTAGGCCATGGAAGCCATATTCTGCCTCGGAACAAAATCAAACGAGCCGAATACCCTTGTGCTATGGTTGTAGAAGCCGGTGATTTCGAATATGAAATTTCCACTTTACTGTGATGCATCTTTCAAAAGTTATCCCAGGTAACGTAATAACCGAATCCCCAGTATTTGTCAGAAATGTGATTTCACCGTCAAAAAAGCTAAACACTCGTAAAAAGTTGTGTAGTGGAATCATGGTGCGCGAAAACCCTAGTATGTAATATTTCAGATTTTTTGAAAAAATTTTGTCAGATGGCATATTTCTCAATGATTCCACATGCTGGAAGTTCTTACCGTAATTCAACAGTAACGAATGGCGATCGGTGATTCGATCAATACTATGAATCTAAGTTGAAGCCTCCTCTACAGAATGGTACGTGACTGGCAAAAAAAGACTCATTGGGAAGAGAGATATTGGCGATTGAAAAGTGTGTACTTACTTTTGGGACACCCTGTATAATGAGAAGTAAAGTTTTCAATGTGGTGTGTAAATAACTAAAAAAACTCCGTTTCGTTCCTGCTCTGAGACGGAGTAAAAGGATTCACCCTTTCCCGGAACTCAACACTTGTCTCTCCGACCTTTCAGCATGACCTGGAAGTGCTGCCGTTCCCATAGGGGATATTGGGTGTATGTCAAGAGGCGCGATTTTTATTGCCAGATGAACACCAAATAGCATATGATAAGTGTTTCATAACTTTCTAAAAGTATTCAAATTTCATAAGGAGATGTACTAGATGATGGCATGGGTTTCAATCTTAATACCTTGTAATCGGCTTTTCAAATAATAATCACATTTCTGAAAGGCGCTGCAAAACACTTTTTCCGGTGTATCGTTTGTCCCCCAGCAAATTTCCCATAGGCTACCACGTCATGTCGCTGCCTTTCGCTATTTTGAATGTGTTAACCTCGGGCAGTTCCGTTGAAATCTTAGGAGAAACGTGTCAAAAAGAGCGAAAGGCAGCGTCGCACCACGTACGCACGCTGGCGCACATGGGAACTTTTCTGGGGGACACAGGATACCTGGCATAAGTTTTGAAAAAAGCATAACGGATGAGTGCAAATTTTACATAAAGTGAGTGTCTTCAGGAATCTAAAGCAAGACTTTCAGCACTTTTGATTCTTTTTCTTGGTGAAATGGTCTTGATGTTTTGAAACCTGCTTCAGTCTTACGGTAATTTTACAGCAGTGAAAAGCGCTTGATAAATCGCCCCATACTCTAAATAAACGTCAGCTTACAGATCTACATACTGTTGGGACCGCTGTATATCCAATCGCAACTCTCAGTGGGGGTGTATAATCTTCTTTGAAGTACGAAAAATCTCTTCACAACCGTCACAGGAGTAACTTTTAGGTTCCTAAGTCTCTTCACGTCACGACTAAACCGTTTTTCCATCGAATTGTACCATAAGAATGTGTCCAATACTTAGCACTTACATGAAACAATTTATTCTTAGTGTTTTAGCCTTTCATAGGCAGTCTCAACGACGTGAATTATTCGGTCAGTATTCGAAAATCGAATGATATTCGAAAATCGAATAACATTCGAGGACCAAATAATATTCGAAATTCGAATAACGAATGATATCGATATTCGAATATTATTCGATTCGAAATTTTCATTTTCGAACAATATTCGAAAGTCGAATATTCGAAATTTTCAAATTTCGAATAATATTCGATAGTCGAATATTCGAAATTTTCAATTTTCGAATATATTCGATATTCGAATATTCGAAAAAAATTTCGAATTTCCCCAAGTATAGTGCGAAGGCTAGGTGCGAAGTCCCCGATCGCATGAAAAGTTCCCCTCCCTCTAATTGTAAGGAATTTTTGGGAGTACAAACGTGTCCTTTTAATACATCAGTAATACCCGTTGTAATCGATAACGTTGCGTAACGTTGTTGTATTTTTATATATTTTATATATCTTATATTGTTTAGAGTTCGTTGATGGTTTTATCCAGCTTGTCTCTTGTGGCAGGGAAAAGGGACTGAATCCCACGTATCATTACCTTTCCGAATCGAATCCAAACCTACAAGTGATAGCTCCCAAATCACACTGCTTATTGTTAGAACAAACTTTCCGCTACGAGTCACTATGATAATTTCGCTTAACGGCCCAAGTTATTGTTAGTATCTTGCTCTCTTCTGACATATAGATTTTATTGAGTTTAAGTCAGCTAGCTTTCGCCCGCAGGCTCGCTGGCACCCAAAAAAGGGATCATTATACATTACGAAGAAAGCAAGATTCTTAAATATGAACTTTCTTTTCTGATATTCAGTTTTCTTTAACACGTTGACGACGAGCCATTTTTTGAAGGTCTGTCCCTGTGGACGAACCGTTTCCGGGCATTTTCACAGCCGGCTGCACATATGTATGCATGCATCTATACGTGAGATACACAAATGCAAGTGGGCGGGGCAGCTCCGCCCACTTTTGGCAAGCCCCGCCCACTTTTAAAAAATGCTGGAAATCGCTCAAAATCAATGAATTCGTGCAAATTCCGGCATTTCTGGAAAGTGGGCGGAGCTTGCCACTGAGGGGGTGGAGCCTGCATTACGGGGGGCGGGGTCAAAATCAAGATCGTTCAAGGTTCCCCTGTCATCTGTGAGCTTTTCTATGCGATTTGAGAACGAAAAAAGTTTTTTGTAGAGGGCAGTGGAGTGGGCGGAGTTTGCCAAAAAGGGGGCGGGCCCAACATGAAATACTTTCGAGCCTAATTTGATTATATGAACACAAATTGGAACCATTGTGCACATTAAAACTGATGTTTAGGGTGTCGCGCACCATTGCGCGACATCGTCCACAGGGACAGACTGCCTGTCGCGCACCGTTGCGCGACACCGTCGTCAACGTGTTAAGCAAAAACATTCATATGTTATAGTTAATTTGGAGCGTTTTGGTTTGTTTTTCTTTTCACATATCACAGTATCCCTGTAAGTGAGACTGGCTGGTATTGCGCTTATTCGGATTTGCTTTTTTCTTCTGAAAATGCACCATGAGTGTATTTCTATATAAATAAATAGAAAAATAAATAAATAAATAAATCCAAAACAAGTTTACGATGCATGAACACTGCACCATAAGAGCTGTAGAAAAAGTCTGTATCTTGCTATCAAAGTGCAGAACGAATAACAATTGTCAAAAACATATAAGTGACAAAGATCGTTGACCATTCGAAAGAGACACTAGGTTTTAAAAATATGAAATGACTTCCTTACAAGTTCGTAATAATTAAATATTTTCAAACTCAAACATCCGTAATTTTTAACGATTTATCTAAGGAATTTTTGGGGTACAAAGGTGTCCTTTTAATACATCAGTAATACTCGCTGTAATCGATAACGTTACGTAACTTTCCTTTTCTCAAGTAAAAGCAATAAAACTAACCTTTGATACAACGGGATGAAGGCTAAGCTCACACCCGCGCCGCAGTTCCTCCAAGAACCACCTTCCAGCCACGAGTCCCATTGAATCGAAGAATAAATCAATGACGTTAGCGTCTGCTGTAGTAAAATAGTTTTTATTGGGTTTACACGAAAGTGCATGCAAATGAAAGTGAAATCACATAAGGCATCACATAACAAATGCACATTGGATCGGAAGTAACAAAATACGAGCAGATGATTCAATGAGGCTGCTTTTTAACTATCTGGTATAAGCTTATTTGCATCTGCGCAATATGCAGGTTATCTCAAAACATCAGCTCAAATACAGTCGTTTATAGAAAAGATAGATAGGAAAACCTAACCAAGGAACTAGAAGCTGAGCACGCGAGCGGTGGATGATAATCACCGCAGATTTATTAATTACGTTCTCTAAAACTGCCATACATGGACTCAATACTGATTGTTTCTAGAAAAAAAAGACTACTCTATAGTTGGATAGCTCTCGATGTACCCGACGTATTCGCAGCCGATTGGGCTTGCTGATTAAACACACTCATTTGCGCTGATCATGACATTTAAAATAATAAGTCAATTCACATCACTCTATGAAAGCTTTCGTCTATATGCTTTTTATGGTACTAATACTAGCTATCGCTGAATGTGAACCTCGTAAACCTCGTTATAACCCGCTATATGTGAGTCACTTGAATTTTTTGGTACTCTAAGTTCACGCTACAAAGCGCACTTTTTCGATTTTTCAAGCAAGCCGCTCAGCCGCTTCATTGTGTTTTGGAAGCGATCCTTATGCCGCACGATCCTCTCAAGCAATATGCAGCACGGCATAGAGCCCTTTGGTCGCAAAGTCCTCCGGCTGTTTGAGTTGCTTTTGGAAAAATTCGCGCCTTGTACGCGTTAAGTTAGGGTATATTATAGAACCTGTGTTTAGTGCATGGACAAGGCGCCCAGATACTGTAAGTCGACAGTCAAAGAAAACGGCTGCAGGGGAATGGTAGGAAGGTGGGCATGTGCACAGACATGCGAACATTGTGAAAATTCACTGCAATAGCAGCGAATCCAGCCGCCCCTACTGCATCTTTCAAAACGTCAAAGTTTGAATCTCCGTCTGTATCTACAAGATGCTGGTAGTGCAAGTTCAGCGTCTTTCCACTTGAAAAATATGATGATTGCATGTAAATAAAACTTTCCCAAATCTGGCTGTTTGTAGCGCCTAATTCCTCATTCCCTAATTCACTAATGTGCTTAATTCTATATTTACCTGCTTTTGATATGCATTCATAGAGATTTTGTAGCTTTTGAGAGCTGTACAGCGCGGGTAATGCTGCTATATAGGATGTTGTTCTAGAAATGATTGAGTTACAGTTACATTTTCGAAGCAGAATGCCAAGTTTCTATCACTTGGAATTTTATTTTTGTAAGCCTGCATGCGCAGCTCTGCAGAACGAAGGTAGTTTGAGCGCCTAATGCAGTCCTCACTCTCAAATTCATTGTGGTTCTGGTTAATTCCATATTTACTTGCTTAACAATATACATTCATAGTGATTTTGGTCAATTATCAAAACAACAACATTTTCATAAGTGGCATTTCAGTTCCACATGTTAAGTGTCTATATGGTATACGAATTAAATAATTACATGCTGGTGTTGCTTTCTAGATGACGGTATAATGACCCGGTATAATAACTTTATGTTATACCTAATAAATTGTAATCAATACCTCATATGGGGAAATTGCAGTCAAGAATTGACTTTATGACCTCAATTGTATATTTACACAGATCTCATAATCGTAGACAAACACAAGCTTACCAAAAATTGATTATCGTCACATTTCTAGCAACAAAGCATCGATTCTTATCTCATCGTATTGTTGTATATAATACCGAAGGTCGTTGACTGCGCACGCGTCATGTAATAAAAAACTATGTAGAAAGTAATTTACTTAACTTTTAATTCAACCGGTTTGGCTTCGGGAGGGCAGGGCTTTATGACGTAATTAAGGCCGCTCGCGCTCGCGACGCACCTGCGTCTCTCTCGCGCGGGTGCTCTCTGATCACTAGCTAGCCTTAATTAGGTCACGGAACCCCGCCTTCTCGAAGCCAAGCCAGTTGGATCAAATGATACATCTGCTAGAGATCCTTTTTTGACAGATTTTGTGCTTGTAGGTGGAATGCAAAGATGGTCTTTGCGCAGAAATTACTTGTGATGCATTCAAGGCTTATGGTTTATACGAAAGAGGAATGGACAGCGCACGAATGGTTGCAGCAAGACATGCAAGATGTGCGAAAAAGAGAGATTTTAAGATGATAATCCAAAAGATTAAGCAGCTTCTTCAACTTTGAAATTTGTTAGTTACTATTAGGTTGTGTAACTTCTGTCCCTTTTCTCTTTTGATTTTTTCTCAGTATTTTGCATGGTGTTTTGCAAAATGTATATATGCTTCGGAAGCTCTGAACCTGCTCTACAAGACTTATTGCTTTGATTTCCTACATCGGGAAATTATGAAAAAAAAATGAAAATTATGAAAATTTTTCCACCCTTGAATTTGGAAAACCAAAGCGGAAAAAGCCAATTTCGACAACTACAATACGTTGCTCTCCAGATAAGTCAGAATGCGTAAAACAGCTCAAACAATTTGCTGTTCGTGGGGGGAAGAATACTGTAGCTTCAGCAGTGTTTTAGAAGTGCAAAAAAGTTTTGAGAATTACTTCTGTAAACTTTAGAAAATTCTTCTTCTAACGTCTCTTCAACGTTGACGTTGGCTATCTGGAGGCAGCTTTTAGAGAGGACGGTAAACGGATAATTCAGAAGAGACAGAAGGAATGGCCTGTAGCTACAGTATCACTCAATTTATAGGTTAATTGGTACTTTTCCGTTATCCGGACCAATTTTCCAAAAAAAGATGTTGCTTCTATCCTTGTACCATATTTTATCACAACTTCACAGAGAGGAGTGTCAACCTTCTGCCACGTGTTAGAAAAATTTGACATATCATCACCCTAATTCGCAATGTAAATTCAATATGTTTTTAGTTAATTTTGACCTCATTTCGGTCAAACACTTTCAATGTGAACATGTCATAATAATAACGACAAACTATCATCAATGAACAAATTAGACTTGCTTAGGATAGAGAAGTGCGCTAGGGTTCCGTCATTCAAGAGGCGAGATAAGCAGCAGCAAGGTATTTCACGCTATCATTTATAGTCTTTTCGGCTAGATTCGCAAGCCGAAAAGGTCTGAAGACAAATACATTTTTGAATCACTGCTGAAAGCAGACAAGATGTTTCCAGAATAAGTTCACGATTTTTATGTGTTCATGTAAAACAGTTGATTAATTCTCTTTTAACTCACCGAAAATGATTTCGAAAAAACATGTCAAAATGGACCACAACCTGTCAATTTGCTTTGTTACAAGTGCAAGGAGGCAGTCCTCGTAGAGTCTATAAAAATTATTCTCAGACCAAAGAACGTATAATATGAAGAAAGCCTTTAAAAAAAGGGTCCAGATAACGGAAAAGTACCGGTTAACTTTTAGGGTGTCCCATAATTTTTTACCGTTTTTATTACGAGCGTCGTCTCTTTGCGTTTTTTTTCAATTGATGTGGTTGAGTAATCATTCGACAGGGCAAAGCAATAGTAGCAATAAGCAAGCTCTACAAGGTGGCTATGAAGAATCCCCGAAATCGTATATTACCGCAAGCTTGAGCTAAAGTCTGGCAGCAGTCGAAAACGAAACTTTTCCTTCAAAAATCGTATCTCCACCCCGAAATGCCTTAAAAATTCCCCTATCTATCCTGGCGTTTGACACATCGCACAATCAATTGTGCTATTTCCGTTTTTTCCATGGCTAGAAATAAAGAAAAAAATGAATTGGGTAAAATGGCAACTTCGCCTCTAAACATTCTGAGCTCCTTCCAGGCACGTGATCATAAAGCTGATACATAAAGAGGTACGACCTGTATTTGTAAACCTTGAAGGTGTCCTAGTTTTCGAGAATTGCTGATGTTTAGGGTAAAAACGGTTAAAAAAATTATGGGACATCCTAATATATAAAGTTTGGGGGAGGGGTAAGTCAGACAGCTTGGGTACGCGAGAAGACGAACATCACCGCGACAAGGTATTGCTTCGCCATCTTTTACAAAAATGACATTGAAAGTCGGTAGAATGAAGAGAACAAGCACAAACAGTGACAGTACAAACATAAGAGTTTACTAGGTTGTTTTGTTTGTTGTCAATTCTTTGAATAAATTTCACCTATAGAAAATTGAAAAATTTGGAGAGAAATTTGCGGAGCCCTGGAGCTTTTAAGTGCATATATAAATTTGGCAAAGACCGAACAAAATATTGAGAAAAATCAAAAGAAAAAAGTGGGTCAGAACTTATTACACAACCTGATACATCCCGTAATGATTGCGTATACAGCTTCGCTGTAAGCTTTATGGTTCACTTTTATTTTTATTTTTTTGTTCTTGCAAGAGCTCTGCATACATATGCTTTATCAGCTTGCAACTGTTGCTTATCAAATCTTCTCATCACTTACGGTTCCGGTTAAAATTTCAGCCAAGGCTGGATTCTTATCTGTGTTTTGTTCATTCAGATTTTCACTTATCGTTTCCATTTGTACATGTTTCGCAATGGTTACCTTATTGCTCGGTCTTGGTTAAATTTTAGGTTGGTTCTCCACTCACGGTTCTCCTGACCAAAAGTTTGTAGCTCAGGTGGATATCAACTTGCGTTTTTTACGATGGCCTTGGATGCCCATCCCATTAGGTCCGACTGAGGACTAATAGGTGACACACCGCGTTCGAAACTCTAAGGGCCGCATGCACTAACATCCCCGCGGGGAGGGGATCGCAGGTTAAAAGAAAGCTTTATATTTCGAAACTCCAGATACCTGGATTTCACGTTGTGTACTTATCCGTAAGTATTCCTATTACCCTTCACTATGAACATGTTGAACAGGAGCGAGAAGCTGTACAAACCGCATTTCCCAGCTTTTGTATGATCCCTGATGATCCCCGGCGCTTTTCTTCAAAGTCGTTTTTCTTTCTCCGAAGTTAACGAAGAATCTCCAGAGTTGTGCAGATTGTCTAACCCGACAGTGCTAAGCATGTTGCTGCTAAGAACAAATGATGTTTTGAAGTCATGAAGTTTGCGATGATCCACAGGTCGAAATTTGAGGCTTACCGAAAAATTCGACTTTTCAAAAAGTCATTTGTTCTCATCAGCAACATGCTTAGCAGTATTGTGTTAGATGTTCAGTACAACTTTGGAAGGTTTTTGTTAATTTCGGAGGAAGAAAAATGACTTTAAAGAAAAGCGCCGGGGATCATCAGGGATCATACAAAAGCTGGAAAATGCGGTTCGTAAAGCTTCTCGCTCCTCTTCAACATGTTCATAGTGAAGGGTAGTAGGAATACTTACGGATAGGTACACAATGTGAAATCCAGATATCCGGAGCTTCAGGATATGAAGCTTTCTTCTGAAGCTGCGATCCCCTCCCCGCGGGGATATTAGTGCATGCGGCCCTAAGGGTCGCATGCACTAACATCCCCACGGGGAGGGGATCGCAGCCTAAAAGAAAGCTTTATATTTCGAAACTTCAGATACCTGGATTTCAGTTGTGTACCTATCCGTAAGTATTCTTACTACCCTTCACTATGAACATGTTGAAGAGGAGCGAGAAGCTGTACGAACCGCATTTTCCAGCTTTTGTATGATCCCTGATGATCCCTGGCGCTTTTCTTTGAAGTCATTTTTCTTTCTCCGAAGTTAACGAATAACCTCCAAAGTTGTGCAGATTATCTAACCCGACAGTGCTAAGCATGTTGCTGATAAGAACAAATGATGTTTTGAAGTCATGAAATTTTCGATGATCCACAGGTCGAAATTTGGGGTTTACCGAAAAATTCGACTTTTCAAAAACTCATTTGTTCTCATCAGCAACATGCTTAGCGCTGTTGTATTAGATGTTCAGTACAACTTTGGAAGGTTTTTGTTAACTTCGGAGAAATAAAAATGACTCTAAAGAAAAGCGCCGGGGAT